TATACCTGGATCTTAGTTTTTGAACACTGAATATGGAACTTGAGTGTGTATATTTAGTAGTTGGCAGGATCCACAGTGATTCTTTGGTGTGTTGAGTCACAGTTGTAGCAGTGGTAAAAACACGAATCTACATCCTCTCTACAGAGGTAAGAGAAGTATTATATGTTGGAACATATCTTTAATCCTAGCACTCAAGAGTCAGAGGCAGATGGATCTGTGAGTTCAAGGTCAGACTGATCTACATAACAAGTTCCAGGACAAACAAGATGACATAGTGAGACTTTGTGTCAAAAAAACCAAAAACCAAAACACCCCAGCAAAACAAGCAAACAAACAAAAAACCCCAAAACAAAATGAACAAAAACAACAACAAAAACCAGCTAACCAACCAACCAAACAAACAAACAAATAAACCTATTGATATATCACAGCCACATAGAATTAGAAAGAAATGCACAGTTACACACTGCTGTCAGTGAATGATATAATATTTTATCATCTAGAAGTCATGGATATAAATGGTCACAAAGCATAAATAAAACAACTAGGAAATCATGAATTTAAATTTAAATTTATCTTTGTTTTAATACAATGTACTTCAATTTGAGTTTGTATATATTAACATTTTAATGCTGTTTGGACAAATTTATTATGATAATTCTATTCTTTTGAATAATTAAAATAAGATTTTCTATTTATGTGTATGTTGTTTAAGAGGGATGCCTATAGAAGCCAGAAGAGGATTCCTGATCTCCTGGGGCTGGAGTTACATGTGTTTATGAGTTGCCTGTTGAGTGTGTTAGAAACAGAACTTGATCCTCTGGGAGAGGAACAAGTACTTTTAAATACCGAGCCATTTCCCCAGCCTCATAATATATTTTTCCTGCTCTGGGACAGAGGAATGATTGGGTGGTCTCTGGCAAACAGCGTGAAGAGTAAGCACAGATTATGACTGAAAAGAAAGTGTAACAGTGTAAATGTGACAAGACTCACACGAGGAAGAGATTATTAGTTGTAGGCACAGGATAGTAATGAGCATCTATGAAAGGGAAATTGGACAAATTTGTGAACTTATTATGATAGTTTTCTCATGAATATTTTAAACATATTTTCAGAATATGAAAAATGTAACATTTGCTAATGTAAATATTGTCTGAAATAGTTAAGAAAGTTCTAGAAATATGTTCAGAACTATTGATGATTCACATGATATGTTTAAAAATATGTCTCAGCAGTTAGGAGTGCTTATTGTTCTTATAGACCACCCAGATTCAGATCCTTGCATACACACCACTGATGGGAGATGTCATTCTGTAAATAGTTTCTCATACTGCTTAACTAATAAAGCACTGTTGGCCAATAGGAAAGCAAGATAGGTGGGAATAAGGGGACAAGGAGGAGAGAGGAAGTAGTGAGGAGGAGTCAAGATGGAGAGACTGGGGAGAGCATAACGCCAGCCCCTCTCCGGTAAGATGAGACCACGTGGAAATACTTAGATTAATAGAAATGGGTTAATACTCAAGACAGTGCTAGCTGGTAAGAAACAAGTAACTGGCCAACAGAATTATATCAAATACAGTGTCTCTGTGTGTTAATTGGGACTGGCACCGTGGTGGGTCCAAGCCGGCAGGAAAAAATACTCTCAACACACCACAGCTCACAATTGCCTATAATCCCCTAACCCTAACCCTAATCCTAACCTTAACCCTATCCAGCTTCAGGACATACAGTGCTTTCTTCTGGCCTCTGAGGACTCCTGCACACACATGGTTTGTATATATACCCTCAAGTATTCACACATATACATAAAATAAACTTTAAAATGTTAAAAATATAAATCCTCTTAAAATAGCATTTTCTAGAGATTCTCTACACACACACACACATGCATGCACAGGCACACACACACACACACACACACACACACACACACACACCTATATGACACAAACCTATCATATGAAACCAATAGCAAGTTTCCAAACTTTTCAAAAACTTATTTTCAATGATCCATTAATCAAAGTTTAATGCCACACAGATATTAGCCTCTCTAATATTCAAAGACATTTCAGTCCATGCATTAATTCACATGGTTTAAAATAAATGTAGCAGAACTCATTACCTAAAATTTATTTTAAATACATATTACCTGAAATATACACTATGGCTAAAAAAGACAAAATATTTTACTTCTGTTTTTTTAATTTAATTTTTTTATTTAATTTATTATTTACATGTCGATCCCAGTTCTCTCTCCCTCCCTTCCTCCCTCTCTCCCTCCCTCTTACCCTCTTTGCCTGCTCACATGAACCCTGGCCACCCTCCCCTCTTAGGTTTAATCATGGTGTCCCACATTTCCTGGATGTTTTGTGTTAAGGATTTGTTGGATTTATGATTTTCTTTTGTCGATGAATCTATTTCCTATAGTTTATCTTCCGCACCTGAGATTCTCTCTTCCATCTCTTGACTTCTGTTGGTTATGCTTGCATCTGTAGTTCTCGATTTTTTGCCCAGTTTTTCTATTTCCAGCATTCCTTCGGTTTGTGTTGCCTTTATTTTCTCTATTTTATTTTTCAAGTCTTGAACCATTTCCTTCACCTGCTTAATTGTTTTTTTTTTCCCTCCTTGGCTTTCTGTACTTTCTTTACTTTCCTTAAGAAATTTGTTCATTTCTTCCACTTTTTTGGTTGTTTTTTTCTTCCATTTCTTCAATGGATTTTCTCTCACATCTTCTTTGAGGGCCTCTATCATTTTTATGATGATAATTTTTAAGTCGTTCCCTTCTGCTTCCTCTGCTTTGTTGTTGTGTTCCGTTCTAGTTGGTGTAGATTCCCTAGATTCTGGTGGTGTCATGCCTGTCTTTCTGTTGTTAGGTGTTTTCTTATATTGCTGTCTTCCCATAGCTTCTTCCAGTAGGTGTTGGTGGGGTCTCTCCCTCTCTCTATGGTACTTCCCCGGTGGGCTTATGTGGGTCAGAGTTTCGATGTCTGTAGGTCTGGGTGGTCCAAGCTCTCTAGGAGGTCTCTCCACAGGCAGGGTCCCAGGGATGGGGGTCAGCAATCAGGCCTCAGCAGAAGACTGGCTACGGGGGTCAAAGATCCCAAAGGCTGGGACTCAGGATGCTCCTATGTTTATAGGCAGATCTATCCTGGGCCTGGTACTCTCCAGCTGAGGCCTCTTTAGCAAAGGCCCTGCTATAGGGGTCAAGGATCCTGCCTGCAGGAACTCAGAGTGGTCCCTCAGAGATAGGTGGATCTCTGGGAGGGGCCCTGGACTCTAGTAGAGGACCAGCGGTGGGGGTCAGAAACCAGGCAGGTGGAAATTATGGGTGGTCCTGTGTGGATAGGCAGGTCTCCTGTGTTCAGAGCTGCTCCCAGAAGTTCCCCCAAGTTGTCTGGACTGTTGGCTCCACCCTCTGTCCCAGTGCTCAACCAGAGCAGTGGGACAGTAGGCAGGGTAGGGCACAGGATAGGGGGAGTGCAGGTTTCTCGGTGGGGTGGATGGGGATGTATCAGAGCTCCAAGAGCACTCTCGATGGGGATTGGACACAGGAGCAGGGGGATCCAGGGCCAAACCAGGGAGTTCCCAGAGGAGGGTGTAGGGGAGAGGCCACCCCAATTGGTCCCAGACTCATCTCTAGCAAGGCCTGGCGGTAGAGGACAAAGGCTGGGCTGATACTCAAGATGTTTCTGCACCAATAGGCGGATCTCACTGGGCTTACTTCTGTTTTTAAGAGTGAAATTAGAAATAACACCCCAAGACTTATGCTAATAAGATTTGTTGATATACAGCTTATTTATATCTTTCAGGACACTTCTTCAGGATGTGAAATTTCTGAGAATATTATACAAAGGGTTTTTTTTATTTGTTTGTTTGTTTTGTTTTTCAAGACAGGGCTTCTCTGTGGCTTTGGAGGCTGTCCTGGAACTTTCTCTGTAGACCAGGCTGGCCTTGAACACATAGAGATCCATCCACCAAGTGCTGGGATTAAAGGCACATAGCACCAACACCTGGCTATACAAAATATTTTGTATGAGGATCTTCATTACTTGTTTGTAGAATTTACCACATGGAGTATTTTCACAGGAGTTTGAAAGTATTAGCTACTATTAACAATTGTCTAATATAATCTTTAATCATGATTAATTTTAACAACTGTTTTTTTTAGAATTCCAGAAAATGTACCATCAGCTTAATTGAAATGGTGTTGGTTAAGCAGGGTTAGTCAAGAGGGGAAGTGAACCGGGGACATTTATAATATCAGAGTGGGAAATAAAATCCATAAAGGGCTAGGGCTTCTCAACATTTGAAGTTGTTAGAGATCTGATAGTCTGGACTTTGGCATGACATCCCTTCAAAGTAAGAACAGATTCTTATGTTCACATTTAGCACCACTGGTAGTAAATCACTAATGCTTTGACTACAGGGGAAGCAAATTTCAGTGAGGGGCTTTCTTCACAAACCCACTTACTAGTGACTGACTAGACCACAGAGCAGGAAAGAGCTGTTGTACCATTGTTGCTTTGCACACCTGACCCACCAGACTCTAGAGTACTGGAGCATCAATGGTGGGAAAGAATTTTTGGCCTCTAGAGTTTTTGGTCACGGTTATCCTGCAGTTGCAAGAAAAGTATCCATTAGGAAATGTTTCAGGCCTGCTATTCACTGAACTCTGTTGAGACAAGGCTCCCAGCTGTGAGATATCTAATGTCAGCAAGGATAGAAATGCCCCATTAGTGGGGCTCTGTCAAACCAATGGTTACAACATCCTTCACTACAGCATATTAACCGCACATCTTAATGTAACATGAACAGAACTGAAGTTGAAGCAAGACTCGTAAATAGGTAACTCCGGTCCCCACTGTTGCCTTCGTAGCTCTCCTGTTGTATGCACCAGTCACTCATGCTCCAAAGACCAATTTCTCCCTAATTTTATTTAAAAGGTCTTAATGTGTCTACCACGCTGGACTAGCAATCCTCCTGCCATAAGTATTTCTTTGTTAGGTATTTTTGGAGTCCCCATTTTTCCCCAGCAGCCTCCAGAATGCCCTCTTGACCTCCTTGTTCCTTAGGGTATAAATAAGAGGGTTGAGTGTAGGAGTGCCCACTGCATAGAAGAGACTGAAGAACTTGGCCCTCTCTTGGGCATAGGGATTTTTGGGTTGCAGATAGACAGCAATGACTGAGCTATAGAAGAGGGTGACCACAATGAGGTGGGAGGAGCAGGTCCCAAAGGCCTTTTTCCATGCTTCAGCTGAGTTTATCCTCAGCACTGCCCTGGCAATGGCACCATACGAAACAAGGATAAGGCTCAGAGGCACAACCACAAGGATGATACTGGACACAGCCAACTGAATCTCATTAAAAGTAGTGTCCCCACAAGAGAGTCGAATGAGAGATGGAACTTCACATAAAAAGTCATCTATCTGCCTATGGGGACAGAAGGGCAGGCGAAGGGTGGGAGGTGTCTGAACTATGGATTGAAGCAACCCCATCATCCAGGCCACAGCTGCCAGCTGCCGACACAGGCGAGGATGGATGATGGTGGCATAGTGCAGGGGCTGGCAGACAGCCACATAGAGGTCAAAGGCCATCACAGTCAGGAGGATGCACTCGGTGGTTCCCAAGGACAGGAAGATGAAGAGCTGGACAGAGCATCCCAGGAAGCTGATGGTCTTTGTGGGGCCCCAGAGGTTGACCAGCATCTGGGGGACACAGGTTGTGGTGAAGCAGAGGTCCAGGAAAGAGAGGTTAGAGAGGAAGAAGTACATTGGAGAGTGGAGCCTGGGATCCAGTGTGGAGAGCAGGAGGATGAGTGTGTTTCCTAGGAGGGTGATGAGGTAGGAACACAAGACGACCACAAAGAGAATCTTTTCCAGGCGTGGGTGTTCAGAGAAGCCCAGCAGGAGGAATCCCACTGGGGAGCTGTGGTTGACCATGTCCTGTTTCTACACGAATCCAGTTGGAGTTGCTCTCCTGTGATTACGATTCAATGTCATGAAATTCTGTTATTTGGACATTTTTGCCTTTGCTTTCTTGGGCACATAACCCAGCAGCTCTGTATGTTCCACTGCTCCTTGGTCTTCTACTACTTTTAGTCGAATGTCTAGAGGTCTCAAGGAAACTAGGAACAGGTGGGTCCTCACACTGGAGCATCTGATTGTTTGCTTAAGAGCAAAAGTGGCTGATTAAAAACATGGATTCACTTATTAATTATCATTGTCACTACAAACATTTGCTAAGCATATTTTATGATGCGAACACTGGCCTATTGAAGTTGTTCCTTCTGTGTGGAATGGATGACAATGAATTGTGTGGTTTATTGATGATCTGATGATAAATATTAGCAAGATTTATCTTAATCTGGTAACATTTGTGTTCTATTTAGTGAATATTTGCAGAAGAGTATATCAGATGTATCTATGTATATGTATGTATGTATGTATATATATGCAAAATATCCATGCACATAAATTAAAATTAAATTAAAAAACAATCTTTATGGCTCATAAAATTGGACAAATATTTTCCCTTTAGGTGAAAAATGCTTACCTCAAATGTTCAATATATTTGTGGAAAAATTTAAGAAAAAAGTATTAGATCTACAATGACTGTCATCTGATACTACTCACCATAATTCCTTAAGAGCAGAATCATGACCCTGAAGAGATGACTAATGGTTTACCATAAACCACTCTCCCAGAAAGTTTGAATTGGGTCCCCAGTATCCATGTTGGCCCATTCACAACTACCCAGATTTCCTGTTCCAGGTGATCGGAGTCCTCTGGTTTCCTCAGTAACCTGTACACATGTATGCATACTCATACACAGACACACACAAATAAAAACAATAAGGATAACTTTTTTAAAAAATTGAAAAGGAAAAGAGAGAACACAAAATCCTGGCATTGGTCTGGCTTAGGTAGGAGGACCTGTAAGTCTGAGACAGCCTGGGTTCACAGAGTGAGGGTCTGCCACACAAAACAAAACAAAACAACATGACAATACACCCCATGTAGATTACTAATGAAAATCTGAAGGAGGTTCATTTGTCTTTCATATAAGGCAAACATTTTTTATCTTAAGTACAATGTACTCCTTCCTCCTTCCCTATCTCCTTCCCTTCTTTACTCCTGGTCTTCCTCCCTTTTCTCTCCCTCCTCCTCTCCCTCATTTACTCCTTTTCTCCTTTCTTTCTTTAAAGACAGGATATTGCTACATTGCATAGACTGATCTAAAACTCACTATGTAGTCCTTAATGGACTTGAACTTGAGATCCCCATGTCTGAGCACCATAATGTTGAAATATGGGACATCCAAAGTAGAGTTTGGTTTTGCATATTCTTGGTTAATATCATTCAGATACATTTTCAAGTATTTTATTTTAAAGTAAGCTTATGTATCCATAAAACTTATCAGAGTGGTTCTAAAGAATTCTTTATAACTTTAAAAGATTCACCATTTTAATTATTGTTTCACTTACTCAGTATTCTCAGAGTACTGTTTTTATTCTGAGTCACTGAGGGCAAGTTGCTGTCATCAAGTTCATTTCCTTGTCCGTATTTTGTTGTGCTTTGGCTACAACAATGTGGTCTCTGAAATAAACTTTGAATAGGAAGTGAATTCAAAGAATTTTAGGATTTTTAAAAATTTTACATATATGTTCTATCTGCATGTATGGTTTTATGCCAGGAGAGGTCATCAGAACCCACTAAAGACAGTTGTGAGCCACCATGTGGTTGCTGGGAATTGAACTCAGAACCTCTGGAAGAGTAGCTAGTGCTCTTAACTGTGGAGGCACCTCTCCAGCTCATAATTCAAAGACTTTGTAGTTGATATAGTACTGTTACCGCAGGAACACCCCATATTCCAAAGTTGTCCGTTGTTCCACTGCCTTCAGAGGTGTCTTAGTTAGGGTTTCTATTGCTGTGGTGAAACACCATGACCAAAAGCAACTTGGGAAGGAAAGGGTAATATGGCTTACAGATCTAGATCTCACATTATACCTCATCACTGAGAGAAGTCAGGGCAGGAACTGAAGAAGAGACCACGGACGAGTGCTGCTTGCTGACCTGCTTTCCATGGCTTGTTGTACCTGCTTCCTTATATAACCCAGAACCACCTCCCCACAGTAGGGTATATCATTCCACCATTGATCAAGAAAATGCCTTATAGACTTGACTACAGGCAACATGATAGTGGCATTTTCTCAATTGAGATTCCTCTTCCAATATATCTCCAGCTTGTGTTAACCAAAAAACAAAACAACAACAACAACAAAAATCAACCAGGTTGATAGGATTGCTTTTTGCATAGGATTAAGTCAGAATTCATATACTATTTTAAGCTTACTAGTTTACTGTAGCAGCCCACATTAAGTCACTAAGCTATGGAACCGCTTCAAATATTGGACAGTGAGAACAGACCATGTGTCAGAGCTCATAGGCTAGAAAGGTGAGTGGTCTCATGCCTTTGAAAAGTCCAGCAGGACATTGAGCATCCTCAGAAGAACCCATAACCAAAAGCCATGAATTAAGTTGCCCAGAGGGGGAGGGGCAGAGCTGTGGAGAACAGTGCTGCATCCTACATGAGGTGATGCTGCTGTTGTGGAAGAGGGGAGGGAGATCTGGGGCACTGAAGCCCACCTTAGAGGTGCAGGCAGTGACAGCCACTGTGGCAACTGAGGCAGAATCCCTGTAGGCTGATGGGTTGGACCTGCAGAGAGGATGGATGGCTGTGTCTCCTCACAGGTTCTTCCTTGTATGTTTAGAAGCTCTGGGCGAGCTGGATATGGTAGTGCAACCCTTACTCCTAGAACTCTAGAGGCTTAGGCAAGCATATCTCTGTGAATTCAAGGCCAGCCTGGTCTTTGTAGTGAGTTCAAGGACAGCTAGGTCTACAGAGAGAGAGATCTGTCTCAAAGACAATAAAAATTCTATGCCATCTTTCCTCCTCCAGCTTCACTGAGTCTCCTGCTTCACCCTTTTCCTCCCACTTTTTTTTGTCTGAGGGAAGAGCCCTCCACCTCAATTTCAAGTGCTTTATTGTTAATAATTTCTGCTGTTTAAGTCTTAAAAGCCCTTTGCATGCCCCATCCCAATCACACTCACTTCCTATCCCTTAAGAGGCAATTACTCTTATTTGGATTATTTATAATAAGTTCTCCTATGTTATTTTATAGTACTGCATTCTTTTGTTACTAAAAAGCAACTCATGGGCTTGTTACTCAGCTGTGCACTCTTCAATATTCTTTCTGCATCCCTGGCTTTCTTACTTTACTAGTCACTTCGTGTCTATCAGTTTGAGCTCTTAAATTTTCATCATCCTTTGCCTGTTTTTCTGATGTTTTCTGTTTTGTTTTTGTTTGTTTATTTTGGTTTTTTTTGCTATGTTTACATGATCTAATTCTGAGACACCACCAAAACTTAAATATTACTTGACAGTCTTCCAGTTATTTCCATTTTCATGGGTGTGTTCTTTTTCTTCCCGATGTCTAAAGACCTAGCCATGCACTATAAGGTACAGGGAATGGGTTGCCATATCTGCTTTTGATAGTATCTGCATCACGACTGTGTTACCATCTGCTAAGAGCTTTCTGCACATCTGGCCCCATGCTTCATTTGTAGAATAATCATTACCATTGTTCTCCCCTTACAGAGGAATAGTGTCAGAACATTGAAACAATTTTTCCAACACTATACAGCCAATAAGTCCAGGTTTGGATTCTGAACCCCGTTTGACTTCCTATCAGGTACTCAAGCACTCTGCATCAATTGTGTAACCCAGATACAATGGCTATTCTACCTTTGTTTACAGTGAAGAGAAACACAGAGAGGCTAAATAATTTGTTCAGGACAATACAATATGCACCAGACATGGCTCCATTCTTGAAGACATGGGAGGTTTTGATGGACTGTAGAAGAAAATTCCCAGTACTTACCATGGTCAGGTCAGAATCTTCTCACCCCTTGGCAGCCAGACTCTATACAATGAGGAACTTCTGGTCTGAATGGAGCCTCACTTGATCTTCATAGCATGAAAACTGAGGGCAAATTGATGGCTTGTGCACCTTTGAGAGCACTAGCATTAGGGCTCAGCAGTAGTGTGGTTGGGTATGCCATTCTGTACTTCCTAATGGCATTACCAGGAAGCAACTACCATGTTTTGTTTTGATTTCCAATGAAGAGATGGAAACACAGACAGGTTAAGTAATTTTGTTAGGGCAATATAATCTGAGCCGAGACTTGAACCAAAGGAGACTGATTCCAGATTCAGTCACTTACTTCAATTTACCACTATTGTTCTGCCCAAGTCAGGAAGTTACCTTCCCTTTCACTAGCATAGGAGATAGAAAGGAGGGATCCCTGGACTCCTATCTCATAGGAATACATGCTCATTATTTCTGCCAGGATTCTGGGGCCTCTGCCCACTGATAGTTAATTAGCCACTGTAGACTAATGATGGTTAAGAGTGGAGAGAATGGGGGTTGACATTCCCTTAGAATATTCCGTGTTGAACTGGTAACACTAACCCTACACCTCTCATGTGTGTCACCTAGGGGGCATAATGGCATCATTTTATCTATGGTTTCCCATTTATTTCTCTTAAGTCTTGCTTCAACCCTCTTAATACACAAGTGTTACATTTTATTTCTTATCTCTTTGTTAGAATTCAGGTACAGTTTACATAAATTAATTACTTAGATTAAAATATTATTATCTTGTATTAGTACATTGAGTTCTGTTATAACATGTTCACATATGTATGCAATGTAATTTGATTATATTCATCCTCTATTACTTTCTCTTGTTCCACTTCTCCCATTGTTCTCCTCTTCTCTCCTGCTATTTCCATGTCCCTTTTTGTGTGTAACCCAGTGAATTATATTAGGTTTGCTTTCAGTAATGTGGGTGAGGAGTTATTTACAGGAACATGGGCACCTCACCGGTTGCTGCACCATTGAAGACAATGTCTCCTTTTCTTTCTCGGTCTCATATGTGAATGAACCTTACCATCAGACAGTTTATTATTTATATATTTCAAAAAGG